CTGCGAGCACCGCTCTAGCTAGAGCTAGTATTAGTAGTGCTAGTGTACATATATTCCTAAAATAATCAGTTGTGTGCTGCCTTTTATGACTAATAGATACTGGCGTTATCAAAAAATTTAAAAGCAAACAAAAACTATAGAGCGGTACATTGGTCGTCTCTATATTCGTCCGGACTCTGTCAACGGGGCAATTTCTCACTGCGTTTTCCGTTCGACGCTTCAGTTTTATCAATAAACAGTCGAACGCCCACGTTCCAACATAAACACTCAGCCGGGAACAAATAAATTATACAAAGCGATGATCGAACTAGAGCATCCAAATATATGTATAATGTTGGGTTACGTTCGTTCGTATTTTGGCCTTCCAACAAAGGCAACGCACGTTGCAGATGTTATTAAACAAATCGAAAATAGTTTTTCGGTTGTTTGTATGATCGAACACAAACTTAAATATTGCAACTTTAGAATTGAAGTGGCTTAATCCAAAATTCTTTTTTTAAATTATTGCATAGCTTTTATCGCGGGCTTTGAGCGCGGCGACCGAATCAAGAAATTCCGTAACAAAAATAAAACCTAACACCCCACTCAAGTTGATAAAAAATGCTATGCAATAGCTTTACCGCGGCAGTTCCCGAGTGCCACACGTTTTTATTTATTTATTGACTTTTACTTTATTTTATTCCATGACGGTCTAAAAATCCATATATTGTAGGCCAGTTGTGTTCTAATTACATGTATAAACTGGATTACTTAGTCACGATAAATTTCCCTTCGCCTGTTCCTGCTTAAAAAATGATCGTCTTATTCTTCAAGATTCATTATTGCGAATGCGAGGTAATTGTTAAAATTTGTTTGTAGTGTGACTGAGTATGTGTAAGTATGTGTACTAATTTCATCGATTATAATTCACTAGAGGTCCCGCAGTAGTCGAAATTCGACTATAATTAATTGGAATAAGTTTGTACACTATTATGATTGTATTTTATACTTCTATAATCACAAATTTCGCCAAGACTACACTATAAAAAATATTAACAAATACAAACAATATTTAATCTATTCTCAATTTGAAAACAGACGTCAAAAACAAAAGTTTGACAATAAATAGTATGCATGCGTGTGTGCGTCAAATACATGATATGTAGTGTGTGTAATGTTTTCTTTATTGATTTAATATATCTTATTTGCATTATTTAAAAAAATATATTAGCATTGTGCACTTCTTCTCTATATTCTCTATAAGTGTGGAAAATTTCATACTCCTCCGTCCGCGCAATTTTCGTAAAAAGGGATACAAAGTTTTTGCTTCACGTATTAATATACATATAGATTCCTGTTTGAACTGTCAGACAGTTCCGACGTACGCCAAACAAGAAATTCGAAGTTGAGATTTTTCGTGTGAAAGTGTTCGTTTTGTTTTAATACGATGTTAGTGACGTCATATCGCTAAATATATTTAATTTTACGTGTGGTTTTTTAGATACGTTTTAAAATTACAGTTGCGCCGCTTGGTTAGTGATTAAGGTGAAGTGACGTGTTATTAGGGTACTCTGGATTGGATTTCCGATTTAGTCTGTATTTATGTACATCTGCAAATAACTATACTTGAGACCTTAGAACTTACATCTCAAGTCATACTTAACACCAGGTGGGCCGTGAGCTCGTCGACCCGTCTAAGATACAAATAAATAAATAAATAAAAATTATACACTATGAGCAAAACCGTGTTTTTGATTTTTAATGAAACCCCTTAAAATAAATATAAAGCCAATTTTTGGCGACAGGGCGTATAGTACCCAACAAGGGTAGGTACCACTATCCAGTCTATTTCTGTCACGAAGCAGTCTCTGGCTTGAACTCACGGCCCGTCTCGAATTAAATGATTGCTGGGATCCGTAGATATCACAACACAGTTTGAGGTATGATGAGGTCGAGCTGACAATTACATTCGCAGTGGGGTTTATACACTTTCCGTGTTTGACGGTGGAAACAGGCCGATTGTGGTACTTTACCGTGTGTGTGGACTCATAGTAGCACCACGCGTTTCATATCTACAAATATTAACGAGGGGTAAAAGGTTATTTGGTTTAAGCGACATTTTTTTAACTTTACAGAAGAGCCACGTAAAGTTTAAAATTTGGAAAAAATATATACTGGTGGTAGGACCTCCTGTGAGTCCGCACGGGTAGGTACCACCACCCCTCCTATTGCCGTGAAGCGTTTCGGTTTGAAGGGTGGGGAAGCCGTTGTAACTATACTGAGACCTTAGAACTTATGTCTCAGGGTGGGTGGCGCATTTACGTTGTAGATGTCTACGGGCTCCAGTAACCACTTAACACCAGGTGGGCTGTGAGCTTCGTCTACCCATCAAAGCAACAACAAAAAAATATCTTAACAAAAAACTTCTTCAACTATTTGAATAGAGTAAGCTTAATTGAAGCTCAATTAAAAACATCGAATTGTTGATACTAACACTAAATAAAAAGGACCTTTAATTACAAAGATAAATGTCGCGTGTTAAGCCAAATGTCACTTAAACCAAATAGCTTTTCACCAATCGTTTTTTTTTATTGTCCTTGTACGCAGACGAGCATACGGCTCACCTGATGGTAAGCGGTTACCGTCGCTCATAGACGTCAGGGCAGAGCCAAGGCAGAGCCAAGCCGCTACCTACCAATTGCCTCTTAGTATATATTATTTTATAGATTTTAATTTTATTTTTTATGATTATTTTATACGTTATGTAACTATTCGAACGAGCTCACGACCCATATGGTGTAAAGTGACCACTAAAGCCCATGGGCATCACAGCTTTGGACACCGTCGCCCACCATGATCGACACTTGTAAATAACTATACATAATGTAAGTAATGTACTGTAATGAAATTTACCTCTTTGTATTTTCTGACTAGCTCTTACCCGCGACTGCTTTTACGTAGAAGGTGGTTTTTTTTTTAATAATAGAATGTTAAGGAGCTATTTATGTTATCAAAATCACGCTGTTTAACCGACTGCAAAAGAGGAGGTGATCAATTCGACCACAATTTTTTTATCAATGTATGCTCACCGATTTCTTGAGAATGCTAGAACCGATTCTGATAATTATTTTTTATTACTTTTTGTTCGGAAGTGTAGATAGACTTCCCGAATGGTCCTGTAATCATCAGGATCAGCATCTGACAATGGAATCTGTCTATTTATTTATAAATTAAAACTAATGCGAAATTTTTGGCGGTTGAAACACAGTCGTCTTAATTTATTTTAAATGAGAGATTTGATTTTTTTTGTATACTCAGTTGTGGTATTCGGGCTGGGGAGAATCGGCGGTGGAGTCTGCTGTAAGTAGTCTTTTTACAACATCCGATCCGATTTTATAGTGTATATGGGCGCAAACGCCACTATTGGCAATAATTACTGGTGGTAGGATCTCTTATGAGTCCGCACGGGTAGGTACCACCACTCTGCCTATTTCTGCCGTGAAGCAGCAATGCGTTTCGTTTTGAATGGTGGTGTAGCCGGTGTAACTATGCTGAGACCTTAGAACTTATATCTCAAGGTGGGTGGTGCATTTACGCTGTAGATGTTTATGGGCTCCGATAAGCACTTAACACCAGGTGGGCTGTGAGTTCATCCACCCATGTAAGCAATAAAAAAAATGAACATAATAATATTATATAGTTTTGTTTATTCTACGTTATTATTTATTTATTATTAGCAACATGAAATTGTTATTCTGACATAATATGTATTTAAATATTTAGCAGACAGTGTTTTTATGTAAAAAGGTTCAGAATATATTTAAGGTTTATATTATTGTTTAAAAACACAAATTACTGTATAAATAGTTAAATATTAATAAAGCATAAATATTAATAAGAATTTATATTAAAATTAACAGTAATAATTTAATTAAGTATTGTAATTGTTATGCAAATGATGTTGTTTATACCTATGTTAGTTTATATCAGTTAAAAGTAATTTTTGTAAAATAAATTATGTCAGAGTCATGTAAAAATCACTAAAATATGTATTGTGAACATTAAGCTATATTTTGTGAATTGTTTCGCAGTAATTACATTTGTTTGTATAAAAGAAGTTGTAGTTGCTATACCAACACAAAATTAAGACGTGTGGCTTTTTGTAATAAACAAGAAATGTTAACGGTTTATATATACATAATTGTATTGTATTTTCATTGCAATAGATCCTATGTGTGAAAAGCCTGGCGTAACGCCGACATGTACCTCTATTCATTTAGGCCGTGTCTTCATCTGACTGTACTAATCGCTACAGTGGACATGCTGTCACTTACAGTGATACATGATAATCAGAGACCTAGTCCTAAATCTCACGGATCACACCACTGTTACTCTGTAAGAATATAGTGACAATTTATTTTATGACAGGCCACAATAAATTCCTAGCGAAATCAATAAAACACAATAACATTAATAAATATTGAAATGGAAGATGAACTACTTGCTACTTATATAAATAGTTATCCGCAAACAATTGTAAGTAATGTAATGCGAATATGGAAATATGTATAGTTAACCGTTATTTTTACTATTAGAAAACACATGTATGAGGAAAAACAATAAGGCCAGATTAATCTAAATAATTCCAATTTTAGCATAAAATAATTTCAGAATTATACATCCCAACTTAGTCAATAAAAATATTATTGAGTTTGTAGAAGAAAAAAATCACTAACGTGCGTTATTATTGTTAAAATAATTTCCTACAAAACGCGATTTCGAAAATATGTAACGAATGCAAAAAACATTACATTATTTAATCAATTAAACATACAACAATAGACTGGTATGAAATCACTCAAACGAAAGAGACCACATATCCTAACATCTAAAACACGGGATTGTAAACCTCAACTACACGAAGAGAAGCACTAAAATCGTATAAAACACAACACTGGGCACTCCCGATGACGTCATATATATTCTTTTCGTAATTATCAAAGCACTGGAGAGTTACTCACGCTGCGATGCTCCTGGATAGCGGCCAACGGTCCATAGAAGCCTGGTACTTCATGTTTTCAATCTGCTTCTTCAGTGCTTCTTTGTCCATTGCTGCGAGTATACTGGGGTCCATCGCGCAGAATCTGTGGTATAAAACACGCACACATACACGTGGGTTAGTGTGAACAAATCGTATACGTGTAGGGAACAGCGGTTGTACAGGTGAGCAGGAAAATGCTATTGCAGCAATACCTTTTTCTTTTTTTTTTAACTTCTTAGTCATAACAAGCAAGAAGAAATTGTGCAAGAATTGTCTTTGGATAATCAGGTGATTAACCCTTTTTTATTGCTTAGATGGGTGGACGAGCTCACAGCCCACCTGGTGTTAAGTTACTGGAGCCCATAGACATCTACAACGTAAATGCGCCACCCACTTTGAGATTTGATTTCTAAGGTCTCAAGTATAGTTACAACGGCTGCCCCACCCTTCAAACCGAAACGCATTACTGCTTCACGGCAGAAATAGGCAAATATTTCTTACGTCTCGACAAATAAATATTTCTTATGTCTAAGCGATAGTGTCTTCCGGGACATTTTCCCAGAATTAACACTAGAGCAGTACAGATCGTAATCGCGACCCGCTGAGAAGATCCGGCGAGAAACTCAGCGGGGCTTTGTCCTATGGATCTAAAAGCATTAATGTTTCGCAGCACGATTGGGTAGGATGTTTTAAGCAGATTTTCAAGGATTTTACTTGACCTATTGTTTTCTCATCGTGCAAGTTCATGAGCTCAGATTAGGCAAAAATTGATGCCTGCCGACCCGACTACGAGTAATCAGAGCTTTTTACTTATCAGACCGTGAACGAATTATATTTTAAAAAATAATTTAAAAATAATGCTACCAAATTTGTGGGTGATGGTCCAAAATCATCCGCTGTACAAACACAGACAAAGCGGAAAGCTTTGCCTGTGTTGGGGCCATGTATGTGTGGGTGATGCGCGCGCAGAATTTCGTAGTTTCTATGACAACCCCTTAGGAACACTAAAATAAATACGTTCAGGCGATTTTTGCATCTAAGCCATTCGTTTAAGATCGACAATGGCACGTGTGGACATTTGTAAAATTAATGAATTAATACCCGCCAGTTCTTGCGAGTTTTGTTCGTTATTCTTTGTTTTCGCGCATTTAACACAGGGGGCGTTTGCAGCGCTGCAGCGCTTACTGAAAGCGATATAAAGATTTATTCTAACCATAATTAGGCCATAATAGTCAATTTCGTGCGAACAAAATAACATTGTTTCAAAAGTTTAATTAACAAATACATAGTTAGCCATTGTAGCACATGGACCAGAACAGCTGAAAATAGAAGCTTATGGAGGCAGTTGGAGGAGGCCTATGTCTATAATAGACAAACAGACAATAACTAATAATAACATAGGTAAAAAAAAAAAGCTTCCAAAAAAAAGAAATAATTATTGTATATCGATGATTGTATATGTAAAAAAAAATTGTATTTGTCTGAATAAAGGCTTTATTATTATTATTATTATTATAGTTAGCCATTCCGAACCACTGTATTCAGTTTGAAAATAACTCAGACTACTGCCACTTTAGTTTCTGTAGAAGCTAAACGAGCATGCGGATCATCCCACGATAAGTGACTTAAGCTGAATAAAAAAAAAACTATTTCGCTTAATAAGCTAGTTAATTTAATCTTAATATATTATGTAAAAAAAATATTCAAATACCATTTCTATATGAGATGAATTTCTCCAACGCCAAAATTTGCGTAGCCGTCAAATTGTTTCAGCTAATGAATATTTAATGTGATTACTTCAGATTAATCAAAATGAATGTAACAATTCTTGTTCATAATTAATTATATCATTACTTAGTTTATGGTTCGTACACGGATGAAAATGGCTTATGGATTAGATGCGTCTTCTCACTCTTATCTGAGTACGTGGGGTCGGCAAAGCCTGTTCCATTTAGGCCTATACGCCATATCTGCTCTCTAAATCTTCTCTCGCTTAATATCCCCTAGACATAGTCCATCCAAGTCTTTTTGGGACGTTCCCAGAACTAGCTGTGTAGCCTTGAAGTCTCTGTACTGTTGTTAATTATGGGAAAATGTCCCGGAAGACACTATCGCTTAGACATAAGAAATATTTATTTGTCGAGACGTAAGAAATATTTGCGTATTTCTGCAATCTTGTCTATTTAGCATAAGGTGGTTTAAAGTTGTCCTGGCTTAAAGGATAAGACGCCCGGTGCAGACGTATCTAGTGATGTACCGGTGTTCCAATCCCGCAGGCGGGAACTAACTTTTCTAATGAAATACATACTTAACAATTGTTCACGATTGAGTTCTACGGTGAAAGAATAACATGGTGTAATAAAAATAGCGTAATTACTGGTGGTAGGACGTCTTATGAGTGTGCCGTGTGCCTATTTCTCCCGTGAAGCAGTAATGCGTTTCGGTTTGAAGAGTGGGGCAGCCGTTTATATATTGAGACCTTAGAACTCATATCTGAAGGTGGGTGGCGCATTTACGTTGTAGATATCTATTGGCTCCGGTAACCACTTAACACCAGGTGGGCTGTGAGCTCGTCCATCCATCTATGCAATAAAAAAAAAACACTGATGAACTTAGATAATTAATTACGCGGTATTAAATTCTCACAAGAAGAAGAAATGTTTGCTAAATTCGTTTGAGTTTAATCACGTCTATTTGACTACTAATGCGATTTAATGTCGAATTTAATAAAGATATGTGCTTATAATACTAGTCTAAATTTATTAACACCGAAAACTGCAATACGTACTAGTTTTAATAGAGTATAAATTGCATGCTCAGTGCAGTCGACTGATAAATTGGATTAAACAGCCATCTTACAGTTCGGCTCGACTCGTTAGTGAGACATGGAGCTGGGAAAGTTTGGATGTGTTATTTTAGGTTAAAATGAGAGATCAAGTGAAATCGATTCGATCGAATGGATATTTATGCTTCAGTAGACAAAAATCGTATGGCAAATAAGGTCATGTTTGAGGTATTAGGTAAAGTACCTATAGGGTACAAAAAATAATGATGTGAAATGTTAAATTGCACTGCACAGTTAAGAACTAGTAATATAAGTTCATGTGATTATGTGTTTTTTATTACCCTTTCAGGCATACGAGCATACGGCCCACCTGATGGTGAGTGGTTACCGTCGCCCATGGACTTCAGGAATGCCAGCGGCAGAGTCAAGCCGCTGCCACCGTAAAAGCAGTACCAGGCTGTAGTGCAGTGTGGGACTACCATGACATGTGACTACCAGATGAAAAATGGCTCGGCCAAGTTGGACGCAGGTGGCAACGGACCAGCCGCACCGGACATCAGTCGGAGAGGCCTATGTACAGCAGTTGCCTCTACTATCAAAAGGGATAAGATACCTAGTGAGCTCGTACGGACTGATAGGATACCCGTGTTTATTATCTAATACTATCTTCCTATATTTATGGGAGATCCCCTAAATGAGTGCAAAGAATGGCCTCAAGCAGGGAGAGATGGCGGGACACTGCTAGACGCATCGAGTCTGCCCCGTCCAACACTGATGACGGCGACTACTGTGTCAAGAGTAACACGATTGAGAAGAACTAATTTCTTACTTAATAATATAATTTCCACAGTTAATAAATGCAATCGTGTAATAAATTAATTATTTGGTCCACTAATGACTGCTTTACGTATTGTGAAACCACATAGATAGTGTCCAATAGCTCTACGACTTTTTGCATCTAAGCTATCGTATGTAGTTATAGTGAAATTTGGACTTCAACTTTATACCTCAGGATGGGTGCCTACCTAGCTTGACGTTGTGATTGATACATATGGGTTACCGGATAACGCCAGGTAGACCGTGGACTTGTTCATTCATAGAAATAAAAAAAAAACAAAGAAATAAACAGATTTCGATAAACAAAATCATTGAATATTTAAACGATAAAGTAATTTGAGAAATTTTGATAAACGTACATAAAATTTAATAATTGATTTTTGAATACCGTATCCAAACCGAACCGATCCATTGACTCCATGTTTCAACTAGTCCAGATCCGTCGGGCTAATTATAGTACAATCATGTAATCATCATAATTTAAATAATCCTTAATATATTGTTCATTTAGTAAATGGTACTGGTAGGACCCCTTGTGAGTTCGCGTGGGTAGGTACCACCACCCTGCCTATTTCTGCCGTGAAGCAGTAATGCGTTTCGGTTTGAAGGGTAGGGCAGTCGTTGTAACTATACTTGAGACCTTAGAACTTATATCTCAAGATGGGTGGCGCATTTACGTTGTAGATGTCTATGAGCTCCAGTAACCACTTAACACCAGGCGGGCTGTGAGCTCGTCCACCAATCTAAGCAATAAAAAAATAAAAAATAATATTCTGCTGAGTGAGTGATATTACTGAGTAGATCGACAATCCGAAAGCTATTATTCGGAACTTCCTTAAAATATGTATGCAAAAATAATTCCTTAGCGCGTTTCAGGCATCTGTCAAATATCTTTTGCTCTACGAGTTTACAATAATATGTATATTAGCTCCAGGTAGAGTTAGAAGTAATTGTCTATACTAATATTATAAAGAGGAAAGATTTGTTTGTTTGTTTGTATTGAATAGGCTCCGAAACTACTGAACCGATTTGAAAAATTCTTTCACTGTTTGAAAGCTACACTATTCCCGAGTGACATAGGCTATAATCTTTTTTTTTTTAATTAGGGATCCTTATTAAAACTCCAATAATGTAACTCAAGGTGTAAAAAAATTACCTAAAATATTCTTTACATCGCGTGCCCTGCGAAAACTATTGATGGTAGAATAAAATAATGAGTTACGACTATGTAGAACACATTATTATTAAAAAAAGTGCCGCGACAGCATATGTCTAACTATTATAGTTATGCCGCAATAAGTGTTCTTTAATTAAAAAAATAAAACAACGTCAAATATCGTTGAAATTTTTGTCCGAGCGGAGCCGGAGCGGGCCGCTTGTTTATAATATACTGAGATTTAATTGATCAGTAGTAATGCCTTTGAGCCTTCGACAGTGACGTTCACTCACCTCAGTCATCTGCTAGAATAGTCTGATAAGTTTCATGTAACAAACAATAAGTTATTATAAGCTATCGGTCTTAAAATCCAGCTGTTTTTCTTTGATCATGGCGCCAATCCCTTTTTGATCAACAGCCTGGGTTCGAGCTCTGGACGAGACAGAACTGACTCGAGGCAGACGGGAGATAAGTTGCCAAATTTCACCCGTAGTTCATGTCTCCTGTCGCCTTGCATAGACTGAACGCCAAGCTGACAGTTGTCATCGCCACAATCGCTGGGCCTCTGAGTATACAAGGGCTACCCCGTCTAGACGGCGCCGCCAACTAATACTCCGGGATAGCCCACTGACTCAGAACCGGCGAGGGTCGGGGCGGGCGGCCATCCGTTCTTAAAATAAACTAATCACGTTCGTATTGAACGTCCTTAATAGCGTTCGATCGATAGCAATCGCGATTATGTAGCCGTATTCGAATTGGCCCGCGTTCTATGACCGTAATCCGTGAAAATATTGTTCACGATTTATATCTGAGGCTTGTTTGTTTTACTAAATAGCTCGCAGGCTTAATATAAGTGTTCGTTCGTGGTTATATCGAGAGGAGTTTGGTTGCAAAACATTGTATTCGAAGTAGAAGATTAAGTAAGCTTAGAGTGGCAGCGTCTGCTGGTTGCTTGGTAATACGGTGCAATTATTTAATATAAATCGATTGTGGGGCTATTTGCAGACTCATACGGGTGTATATCGCTTTTCAACCCACTTCTGCGACTAACAACCTATAAAAAAAAAAGTTTCGTTTTTTGCTTGTATGGGTGGACAAGCTCACTACCTATCTCGTGCTAAGTGGATACTTGAGCCCATTGACATCTACAACGTAAATACGTCACCCATCTTAAGATATAAGTTCTAAGGTCTCAGTATAGTTACAACGGCTGCCCCACCCTTCAAACCGAAACGCATTACTGCCTCACGGCAGAAATAGGCGGGGTGGCGGTACCTACCCGCGCGGACTCACAAGAGCTCCTACCACTAGTAAAAAATAAATTACGAATCTAAATTACAGTTCGCATGTCGCAAGGTGCTTAATCAAATTAACATTTCGATTTTTGATTCCGGCGATTGCTTAACATCAGGTGCAAGCCCCCGATGTATGTACATACACAGTATTTTGCGGTAGGCAGCGGCTTGGCTCTGCCCCTGGCATTGCTGAAGTCCATGGGCGACGGTAACCTCTCACCATCGGGTGGGCCGTATGCCCGTCTGCCTACAAGGGCAATAAAAAAAAAACAAAAAAAAAAACTATACTAATATAGGTATATATCTACAGTGGTTTTTACGAATGTTCCGTTATAACTACTGAACCATGCTTCCGATTGTTTTTTTTTTTTTTTGGTCAGGAGGAAATCGCCGGACTTNAAAGTGGTATCATCCGCGTATCGCAAGTTTGCAATTCTATACCCCCCAATTGCTACACCATCTGTCCAGTTCTCCAAAGTGATGCGCATTATGATCTCTGTGTACGCATTGAATAAGAGCGGCGATACAATGCAACCTTGGCGAACCCCAGCACTTGGATGGAAGTTACCAGAGAGAACGTCATCCGCGCGCACCGAGGCGTCATATTGAGAATAGATTAATATTGTCTGTCTTTAATATTTTTTTGTCTTTAACGTAGTTTTGGCGTAATCCGTGATCAAAAGCATAATAGTCTTTGACAATAGAACCATAATAATGTTCAAACTTATAATTTCAATTCAATAGTCGAATTTCGACTACCGGAGCACCACTAGTTTCACTAAAATCTCGACTTTTCTATCATTCACATCACGAGTACAGAATATCTAAAGCAAAAATAAATTACCTGCGTTCGGGAATAGAACTAGGAACGCGTGATTCAGTAGTGCATACGTGAGCACTAGTGATAATCAAATGAACGAGAAAGCGAGCTTTTGGATTAAATAAGTTAATTAATTGAAAATTTCTTGTACGTTGGAAGGGGGATATTAAGTAGCCGCGTAATGGAAGTTAAATATTTGTCTCCTTGGATTTTTTTATGTGATCATCGAAAGGTCCAGAGAACTAATACCCTTATCGAACAGGGAAGCCGGTCAGTGAATCAGTGCGCTCTTATATCCCTCATATCAATACTTGTAGTGATAGCTAACATAGAAATTATGATGTGGGACATGTCTGAATCGCGCTGACGACATTTTCAAGATAAGTTTGCATACGTTCAAGTTCCGAACAATAATATGCGGATTGTGTGTGAAGAAATTTCCCCGCTTATTGGAAAACCCCCGTAGTAGATCACACCAAATACCATTATATTAATAATAAGTAGTAGTAAATAGTAATATTAATTATACTATATTATACGATATTAAGACCTTAGAACTTATATCTCAAGGTGGGTGGCGGCATTTACGTTGCAGATGTGTATAGGCTTCGGTAACCACTTAACCACAGGTGTGCCGTGAGATCGTCCACCTGTCCAAGCCAAAAAAAAAATTCACTATGAGCAAAACCGTGTTTTTTATTGTTAATGAAACCCCTTAAAATAAATATAAAGCCAATTTTTGGCGACAGGGCGTATAGTACCCAACAAGGGTAGGTACCATTATCCAGTATAACTATATTTTGTGAATTGTTTCGCAGTAATTACATTTGTTTGTATAAAAGAAGTTGTAGTTGCTATAACCATCACAAAATGGCTGATTGTGTAAAATTTAAGACGTGTGGCTTTTTGTAATAAACAAGTAATGTTCATGTATATAATCGTATTGTATTTTCATTGCAATAGATCTTATGTGTGAAAACCCTGGCGTAAGGCCGACATGTACCTCTATTCATTTAGGCCGTGTCTTCATCTGACTGTACAAGTTTTTTAATGTTCATCAGACGCCTAATCGCTACAGTGGACATGCTGTCACTTAATGTGAAACATGATAATCAGAGACCTAGTCCTAAATCTCACGGATCACACCACTGTTACTCTGTAAGAATATAGTGACAATTTATTTTATGACAGGCCACAATAAATTCGTAGTGAAACCAATAAAACACAATAACATTAATAAATATTGAAATGGAATATGAACTATTTGCTACTTATATAAATAGTTATCCGCAAACAATTGTAAGTAATGTGCGAATAAGGAAATATGTATAGTTAACTGTTATTTTAACTATTAGAAAACACATGTATGAGGAAAAACAATAAGGCCAGATTAATCTAAATAATTCCAATTTTAGCATAAAATAATTTCAGAATTATACATCCCAACTTAGTCAAGAAAAATGTTATTGAGTTTGTAGAAGAAAAAAAATCACTGACGTGCGTTATTATTGTTCAAATAATTTCCTGCAAAACGCGATTCCGAAAATATGTAACGAATGCAAAAAACATTACATTATTTAATCAATTAAACATACAACAATAGACTGGTATGAAATCACTCAAACGAAAGAGACCACATATCCTAACAACTAAAACACGGGATTGTAAACCTCAACTACACGAAGAGAAGCACTAAAATCGTATAAAACACAACACTGGGCACTCCCGATGACGTCATATATATTCTTTTCGTAATTATCAAAGCACTGGAGAGTTACTCACGCTGCGATGCTCCTGGATAGCGGCCAACGGTCCATAGAAGCCTGGTACTTCATGTTTTCAATCTGCTTCTTCAGTGCTTCTTTGTCCATTGCTGCGAGTATACTGGGGTCCATCGCGCAGAATCTGTGGTATAAAACACGCACACATACACGTGGGTTAGTGTGAACGAATCGTGTACGTGTAGGGAACAGCGGTTGTACAGGTGAGCAGGAAAATGCTATTGCAGCAATACTTTTTTTCTTTTTTTTTAACTTCTTAGTCAACAAGCAAGAAGAAATTGTGCAAGAATTGTCTTTAGATAATCAGGTGATTAACCCTTTTTTATTGCTTAGATGGGTAGACGAGCTCACAGCCCACCTGGTGTTAAGTTACTGGAGCCCATAGACATCTACAATGTAAATGCGCCACCCACTTTGAGATATGATTTCTAAGGTCTCAAGTATAGTTACAACGGCTGCCCCACCCTTCAAACCGAAACGCATTACTGCTTCACGGCAGAAATAGGCAAATATTTCTTACGTCTCGACAAATAAATATTTCTTATGTATAAGCGATAGTGTTTCCGGGACATTTTCCCAGAATTAACACTAGAGCAGTACAGATCGTAATCGCGACCCGCTGAGAAGATCTGGCGAGAAACTCAGCGGGCCCTTGTCCTATGGACCTAAAAGCATTAATGTTTCGCAGCACGATTGGGTAGGATGTTTTAAGCAGATTTTCAAGGATTTTACTTGACCTATTGTTTTCTCATCGTGCAAGTTCATGAGCTCAGATTAGGTAAAAATTGATGCCTGCCGACCCGACTACGAGTAATCAGAGCTTTTTACCTATCAGTCCGTCAACGAATTATATTATAAAAATAATTTAAAAATAATGCTACCAAATTTGTGGGCGATGGTCCAAAATCATCCGCTGTACAAACACAGACAAAGCGGAAAGCTTTGCCTGTGTTGGGCCATGTATGTGTGGGTGATGCGCGCGCAGAATTTCGTAGTTTCTATGACAACCCCTTAGGAACACTAAAATAAATACGTTCAGGCGATTTTTGCATCTAAACCATTCGCTTAAGATCGACAATGGCACGTGTGGACATTTGTAAAATTAATGAATTAATACCCGCCAGTTCTTGCGAGTTTTGTTCGTTATTCTTTGTTTTCGCGCATTTAACACAGGGGGCGTTTGCAGCGCTGCAGCGCTTACTGAAAGCGATATAAAAATTTATTCTAACCATAATTAGGCCATAATGGTCAATTTCGTGCGAACAGAACAACATTGTTTTAAAAGTTTAATTGACAAATACATGGTTAGCAATTCCGAACCACTGTATTCAGTTTGAAAATAACACAGACTACTGCCATTTTAGTTTCTGTCGAAGTTAGACGAGCATGCGGATCATCTCAAAAAAAAAACGATCCCGCTTAATAAGCTGCTTAATTTAATCTTACTATATTATGTAAAAAATTTATTCAAATACCATTTCTATATGAGATGAATTTCTCCAATGCCAAAATTTGCGTAGCCGTCAAATTGTTTCAGCTAATGAATATTTAATGTGATTACTTCAGATTAATCAAAATGAATGTAACAATTCTTGTTCATAATTAATTATATCATTACTTAGTTTATGGTTCGTACACGGATGAAAATGGCTTATTGATTAGATGCGTCTTTTCATTCTTATCTGAGTACGAGAGGTCGGCAAAGCCTGTTCCGTTTAGGCCTATACGCCATATCTGCTCCCTAAATCTTCTCTCGCTTAATATCCCCTTGACATAGTCCATTCAAGTCTTTTTAGGACGTTCCCAGAACTAGCTGTGTAGCCTTGAAGTCTCTGTACTGTTGTAGTGTTAATTATGGGAAAATGTCCCGGAAGACACTATCGCTTAGGCGTAAGAAGTATTTATTTTTCGAGACGTAAGAAATATTTGCGTATTTCTGCAATCTTGTCTATTTAGCATAAGGTGGTTTAAAGTTGTCCTGGCCTAAAGGATAAGACGCCCGGTGCAGACGTATCTAGTGATGTACCGGTGTTCCAATCCCGCAGGCGGGAACTAACTTTTCTAATGAAATACATACTTAACAATTGTTCACGATTGAGTTCTACGGTGAAAGAATAACATGGTGTAATAAAAATTGCGTAATTACTGGTGGTAGGACGTCTTATGAGTGTGCCGTGTGCCTATTTCTCCCGTGAAGCAGTAATGCGTTTCGGTTTGAAGGGTGGGGCAGCCGTTGTAACTATATTGAGACCTTAGAACTCGTATCTCAAGGTGGGTGGCATTTACATTGTAGATGTCTATTGGCTCCGGTAACCACTTAGCACCAGGTGGGCTGTGAGCTCGTCTACCCATCTGTGCAATAAAAAAAAACTCTTATGAACTTAGATAATTAATTACGCGGTATTAAATTCTCACAAGAAGAAGAAATGTTTGCTAAAATAGTTTGAGTTTAATCACGTCTATTTGACTACTAATGCGATTTAATGACGAATTTAATAAAGATATGTGCTTATAATACTAGTCTAAATATATTAACACCGAAAACTGCAATACGTACTAGTTTTAATAGAGTATAAATTGCATGCTCAGTGCAGTCGACTGATAAATTGGATTAAACAGCCATCTTACAGTTCGGCTCGACTCGTTAGTGAGACATGGAGCTGAGAAAGTTTGGATGTGTTATTTTAGGTTAAAGTGAGAGATCAAGTGAAATCGATTCGATTGAATTGATATTATTTAAGCTTCAATAGACAAAGAGACAATAGACAAAGAAGAGACAATAGAGAAATCGTAAATTGTCACTGGAGCCCATAAACATCTACAACGTAAATGCGCCATCCACCTTGAGATATAAGTTCTAAGGTCTCAGTATAGTTACCACGGCTGCCACTCCCTTCAAACCGAAATGCATTACTGCTTCGCGGCAGAAACAGGCAGGGTGGTGGTACCTACCCGCGCGCACTCACAAGAGGACCTACCAGTATGGTAAATAAGGACACGCTTGAGATATTTTGCAGCCTTAGTTAACGAAGCGATAGCTGTGATCGCCTTCTTACTTAAAACTGTGCAAGACGAAAGTGAAAAATGTGCAAAACAAATTTAAACTGCGTACAGAACAAAATTACTGATAAAAACAAATAGAACTTATAGTGTTTGTAATAATTAATGTTAATAAATATATATCCTTAATCAATAATTTATAGGTGTCAAAAGAGTAGAATTTAGAATGTTGTTGTGATCAAGAATGTACACGCTTTGTAAAATACGTAATTCATTATAAAACAATAGAAACAATAATTGTAAAGTGCTTTCGGCTACAAGTGGATCTCCGAAGAAACAATAAACAATAAAGAAACAAGAAAATTTAAGACTCTCACAATCACTCTACAATTTAGATTTACTGCGAAACCGCGTTTTCGATAAACAAAAAACAGACGGCAAAATATATACACGACAGCAGCTCTACAGAATGGATTTTGTAAAGTACAAAAAATAATAATGTGAAATGTTAAATTGCACTGCATAGTTAAGAACTAGTAATGTAAGTTCATGTGATCATGTGGCTTTTATTACCCTTCCAGACATACGAGCCTACGGCCCACCTGTTGGTGAGTGTTTGCCGTCGCCCATGGATTTCAGAAATGCCAGGGGCAGAGCCAAATCGCCTACCGTACAAGCAGTACAAGGCTGTGGTGCAGTGTGGGACTATCATGACATGTGACTACCAGATGAAAAATGGCTCGGCCAAGTTGGACGCAGGTGATAACGGACCAGCCGCACTGGACATCAGTCGGAGAGGCCTATGTACAGCAGTTGCCTCTACTATCAAAAGGGATAAGATACCCAGTGAGCTCCTACGGACTGATAGGATACGTGTGCTTATTATCTAATACTATCTTTCTATCTTTGTGGGAGATCCCCTAAATTAGTGCAGTAGAATGGCCTTGAGCAGGGAGAGATGGCGGAACATTGTGAGACGCATCGAGTCTGTCTCCTCCAACACTACATGACGACCACAACCACTCTGTAAAGAGTAACACGATTGAGAAGAACTATCTTCTAACTTAATGATATTTCCACCGCTAATAAATGCCATCGTGTAATAAATTAATCAATTATTTGGTCCAATTACTGCTTTACGTATTGTGAAACCACATAGATAGTGTTCAACAGTTTTACGTCTTTTTTGCATCTAAGTTATCGTATGCAGTTATAGTTATATAGGGATTTCAACTTCATACCACAAGATGGGTGCCTACATTGACGTTGTGATACATATGGGTTACCGGAATTTTGGTAACGCCAGGTAGACCGTGGACTTGTTCATTCATAGAAATAAAAATACACAAAGAAATAAACGGCTTTCGATAAATAAAATCATTGAATATTTAAAAGATAAAGTAATTTGAGAAATTTTGATAAATGCACATAAAATTGAATAATTGATTTTTGAATACCGTATCCAAATCGAACCGATCCATTGACTCCATGTTTCAACTAGTGCAGATCCGTCGGGTTAATTATAGTACAATCATGTAATCATCATAATTTAAATAATCCTTAATATATTGTTCATTTGGTAAATGGTACTGGTAGGACCCCTTGTGAGTTCGCGCGGGTAGGTACCACCACCCTGCCTGTTTCTGCCGTGCAGCAGTAATGCGTTTCGGTTTGAAGGGTAGGGCAGTCGTTGTAACTATACTTGAGACCTTAGAACTTATATCTCAAGATGGGTGGCGCATTTACGTTGTAGATGTCTATGAGCTCCAGTAACCACTTAACACCAGGCGGGCTGTGAGCTCGTCCACCAATCTAAGCAATAAAAAAATAAAAAATAATATTCTGCTGAGTGAGTGATATTACTAAGTAGATCGACAATCCGAAAGCTATTATTCGGAACTTCCTTAAAATATGTATGCAAAAATAATTCCTTAGCGCGTTTCAGGCATCTGTCAAATATCTTTTGCTCTACGAGTTTACAATAATATGTATATTACTCCAGGTAGAGTTAGAAGTAATTGTCTATACTAATATTATAAAGAGGAAAGATTTGTTTGTTTGTTTGTATTGAATAGGCTCCGAAACTACTGAACCGATTTGAAAAATTCTTTCACTGTTTGAAAG